AGGATATTGTCGATAGAGTTCTTTTTTCCAAGCTTAGCTAATAACTCTGCGTGAGGTTGGTTTGATGCTGGAGATATGGCAGCGTGAGAAGACATTGGCGATCTTTTTAAACTTGATGCTTTTGATAACTCTGAGCTCCTTTGGCTATAATCTGAGGATGATTCTCTGTCCATTGTATTGGAATGATTGTTATTTCTACTGATAAAAGAAGGTATCGCGATTTCTACGACTAAAATCCATGGTGGTACAAAGCAAAGGAAGCTACAGCTAGAAATTATTACAAAAAGTTCAAATATTGCAAAATACCGTTTGTAGGATTACAGTGAGGATGTAAACCACCAAGTATATCAAAATCAATGCAATTCCAACTAAAAATTGCGTTTTGATACCACTGGAATGAACGTACGCAAGAATATTCACTGGACAAAAATCCAACAATTGAACGCTACAAAGCCTTGAACAAAGCTTCTAGAAGTAATTGTCGCGACAAAATTCAGCACGATTCCCAAATAACATAGATAAGCGCTAAAAAGTCAGTGTCCAGGTTCGATATTGGATTGGGATCTCGTTTCTATAGTAAACATATATTGGCGTTGACAATGCCAAAGTAATAGTCCCTATAACCAGCGCAGCTAGTTTAATGGAATAAATATATTGGTAGTCTACCATACACGGTTGAACTTTTTCCCACCCCAAGAAATGCTGATTTTGGGCACATTGTGTTCCACCATGATCCCGCTTGAGGATAGACTCAAATGTATTTAGACCTTCAGGGCTGGTACCAGTTACGGGCAAGTTAACGCTGAGAGGAGTGATCGCGCCATATAATCGGGATATGGAACACCATTGATTAATCAATACATTTGAATCGCATATGGTGATTCATCCTCTTACTCATCTCAATTGATTACAGTCACAGTATAACGTGACATTTTGAATTTTATTTCCATACAGTTAACTTGTACAGAGGCGGGTTTAACGGAACATCATTTGTGATGAATCACCTTTTAAAACATGCTTCTATTGTTGTCAGTCCCTTGGGGCGCTGTGGTGATAGTCGGTGGCTTGACGAGCGATCAGTCTGACTCAATGCAAAGACGCAATTTGATTGGTCGAGCCAGAGCAGAAGGACAGAAAAAGGAAGGTAAAATTCACACTCTTTAAATAGCGCAAAACTAAAGGAAAAGAGTAAATTACTAGTGAAATGAAAGACGAAATTACAGAGCAAGAAAAGAAGAGAGCAAAAATAAGCCTAAAGGATTCGGAATTTGTCGCATTTGCGATGCACAGAATTTGGAGTTCCTCGGGACCACAACCTCATTCAAACATAAAGAAAATTAAACTTGAACCTCATTTCAACAATATTATCGCACCTCACGGAGCGGAAGATTGGTACCCCAATTTCGTCCGCTCGGTACATATCTTAATGGAAAATGCAAAGCTTTCATTACCTGTAGTATTAATTGCGCTTATTTATATCGCAAGAGTACGCCATTCAATCCAAAAACAAACCAACGAGATGGCCTTTCCTTTTTTCGTCACGAGTGTCATGCTGGCTCAAAAAGTATATTCAGACCAACAATATACAGTTAAATCATGGGCTAAAATTACCGGACTTTCTCCAACACTATTGAAGGATTTGGAAAGACAATTTTTGCTGGACATTGACGGAAAATTGCACGTCAAAAATGACCAATATCAAAAATTCATTCTGGCAATGCAATCTCTTGGAAAGGAACATGTTCTTGGCCAAAAGAGAAAAATGGATGATGCGTGTGTTCCTTGCTATTGATCAAAAAATAAAAGAATCTTTTTACGAAACGGTTAGGTTACTGGATGTTTTTTCTTTTGGAGTCAATCGGACATTCTAGAGATTGATTTGGGATTCACGATTTGTTGTTGAATCTGACTTTTTCGCGTTTATTTCAGTCCAATTTGAATATCTGTGCTTTTATTGTAACTTTTTCTATTTAATTGAATTAGGATTCCATATTGGTAGTGGTTGCTAATAATTGAGTCAACAACCAGGCTCATTTGGAAGAGGCACGATTTTTCTGGTGGTTAAATAGAATTCTTTGCATGTGATGGAATGTTCTAAAAGGTGCCAGCTTGTTCTATAGCCGTGTCTCAAATCACTTTGCACTGACCGCAACTCAAGCCTCAGTGATGGTATTATAACGAAAACGCAAATAAAACTGAAATGCTACTATAATTGCTTATGATTTATGCAGTGCGCGCAGTTTTGTTTGTTTTCGCGTATAATCTTGATGCCAACCCAATACCAACGACGAAGGTTTGCGAGATACTTTATCCAAAACGCTACTGCAATACAAGCAATTTTAGCAAAAGATGAAAAGTTTCTAACTGAAAACTATGGAAAAGATACCACTAGAGTAACAAAAGTTAAATTTGAAGACCGGATTTCTGTAAAGTCGTTTGCAGCTTTGCTATCTAGAATTGGACCACCTATAACTGAAGAGCAAGCGCAGCAGTTCATATATGAATACGATTCTACTTTGGCTGGGAGCTTGAACTATACAGACTTTCAAGAATTTATGGCGGATTATTATGTGATTTTACAGCATGGAAAGTCGGTTGCTCTTGATTATTGGCAAGAACAATCCCAACTAGCAGGCTATAGTCAAGCAGCAGAAGAGTTTTTGATTTCGCACGAGTATTCGCTCGACAACTACTTGAGATCTATTGGATTCGAGGATCCTGAAAACCTGCTGGTAGATCAGGATGAGCTTACTTTAAGTATAAGAGAAAACCCTATCATTGACAATCCAATGATTCTTACAAGGCATTTATCAGTTCGAATATTTGCATGTTACAATCTTGAAGAGACTTTGCGGTAATGGATACTAATATAGTGTCAAGAAGAGAAAAGACTGTGTCGATTTCAAGTCATTAAATCCGTTCATTAGAATGAAATGTGTGGGTATCAATCTAGAAACAACTGTTATTATTGGTGGTGCAGCACCAAACTGGGAACAGAGCTTGGACGTTACAATACATATACCTAAAGGGAACATTAACGACATTCAGCAATGGGTGCAGTTGGAAAACATTGAATTCTATTTGTACGATTCAGTTGAAGAAGGAAATTTACCATCGTCTGAACTTATTGCTTATGCATCAGTGCCATTAATCAGAGTCCTGCTTTCAACCTATCAACCACTGAATGCAGTATTAACCATGATCAGACCCGATTGTTCTGACGATGATCAATTCAAGCCACTATTAGAAGTATCTTTTTTCGATCAATCAGCTGAACAGTGGAGTTGGGCCAAAGTCGCTGATTCATATCTTAGTTGCGAAGAAGTATGGTTGATGGGATACGCAGACAAAATCAAACATGATTTAGGAACAAAATGTATAAAGAAACCACCGCAGGACCCTAAAAAGATGAAAATATTTGTACTTTTTAATTAACATAGCAAAATAGAGTGTTTTCATTGTTTTTGTCGACGGTTGAGGGATTGCAGTCCATTTTTCCATTGAGACAGTACAGAATGATTTACCTGGACGAGTACAATGATTTCAGATTCTTGAATAGCATTGTTCGCCCTATAAATGTCCAAGATCCGCAACTGCTATCATTGGTTTCACTAGCCAAAGCAGTTGCTAATATTCCTTATGAAAAGAATATTCTGAATCCTTTGTGGCATATTCAATTGAGCAAAGTTACCAGTCAAGTTAATGCCAATGACAGGCTTAATGCGTGGTTGGGTCAAGGTAAACCTGGATCGTATGCAACAGAAACGTTTATGGGGCAAACTAATTCTCCTTCAACTATTCTATCTCGACGACGGGGTACTTTATTCGAGCATGCTATATTATTATGCTCGCTCTTTAGAGGAAAAGGGATACAGTCCTATATTGCAATCGGATCAAGTAATGCATGCTAATCTAGTCAACCATCGAACTTATGCATGGGTAATTACAATCATTCCTAGAAAACAGATTGATTCATCACCATTATACAGTGGGTTAGAGCCCCCAGATTTCCCAACTATTCCTACAAGAACAGAATACGAAGAAAGTGTATTCTACCAGTCATATTTCAAAAAACGCGACCAAGTTCGTTCTGAAATGCTCTTTCTAAAGGAAAACGCTGTCCATCATTGGGATCCACTATCCGGACACTATTTCGATACAACAGATAAAAGCACACCGTTTGATGAGCTGAATACAATGTTTGATGAAAAGAATATTTACTTTAATGTTCAAACAAACGTTTGTAGAAATCTAGTTTTTTCATGGGATATTAGTAACCAAAAGAAATGGGTGCCTTTTTTCAATGATAGTGTCATTCTAAAAGCTGGTCAAGTATCATGTCAATGTAAATACTACTAAAATAGATGAATCACCGACATTTCTCAACCCCCATTCGTTTGAAATAGATCCCATCTCCCAAAACCATATATTTGTTAAAGAACTGGTAGAACTCATCCAGTTATACAGGTGCCATGTGCTATACATTAGCGAAACGCTATTCCACCGTAATGCTTGCAAACTGATACAAAAACTCTTGGATATGAACTCTAACAACCTAGATGATAGCGATGACATGTTTACCACATTTGGAGAATTCAAGAATATCACTCCAAGTAATAAATCCTGGTGGACCAGTAATGGCGACCAAAGTTTGCATCAGATGATGACTCAGATACTGCCAAATAGACATTACTGGCAGGGCCATGTTTATCAATTCATGGACAATGATCTTAATACTATATTTGAGCAGCTGGTACTAACTGGATGCTTGGATATATCTATTCCGAACGTGTTCTTTGGGGTTGGTGTTGATATTCGTCCTAAACCATTTGGGATGTTTAGTGTTAGGATTGTTGTGGGACACATCATTGATTTACTATCTTTTGAGCTAAATACATTCCATAGATTTTACTTACTGCTTTACTTTTATACACACTCCAAAAGGGTATTATTTTCAATTTGCTGTTTGATTCTTATAAAACAGGTTTTTTTTGAAAGTTGGCCCTCTGGCGCAGTGGCAGCGCTTTTCCCTCCTAAGGAAAGGGTCGTGGGTTCAATCCCCACGAGGGTCTTTTTTTTTTGAACTTTTGCTAAAACAGTTGATCTATATAAAGCTGATCTGTACTAAAACTATTGATCTAGAGTTCACAAAACTATTTAAAAAAGATCAAGACTGTCTAAAAGATTTAAAGAGAAGCGTTTATTCGTCATCTTCTTCATCATCATCATCAGGACCAAACTTTGAATAATCAATCTTTTTGCCTCTAGTTCTTCTTCCAGTAGTAATAATATTAGACTTGTCCAAGAATTCAGCTTCATCTTCCAAGTTATCATCTTCAAAATCATCGTCATCGTCGTCCTTCTTCTTTTTAGAAGTCTTTTTAACGACCTTTTTAGATTTCTTTTTAGCTATCATTAACCAAGCTTACGTTTTTCCTCTTCTTCAGATTCTTCTTCTTCGTCGTCGTCTTCCTTCTTTGGGGACTTTACAGGGGATTTTGGGTGATCTTTGACTGGGGATTTTGGTTTGACTGGGGACTTTGGGGCTTCCTTTACAGGCGACTTTTCGATTCTAGATTAGCAAGAGTTACTCGTCGTGCTTGCGTTTAGGGTTGGCCAAGTCTTTTAGTTTGTCCTTGATTTCAGTCATCTCGCCAGAAAAAAATTGAGAAAAAATTCACCGTGCACAGTTTAAATACTCTCCATGTTATTGTTCCTCTCTCATAATTCCTCTTGTACAGATCCGATTTTTACCCGGGTGAATCATAAAAGCGCTTTTTTTCTATTAATTTTTTTACAAGTTAAAAAATGAGTGGAAAATACATTGTAATGTTCAAGTCAGGCACACCACAATCTGAAGTCGATAGACAGATCGAACAAGTTATTGCTCAAGGCGGTAAGATTAATCAAAAGTACGATACTCTCCTCGGGTTCTCAGCTACCATTCCAGACACCATGATCAGTAATTTTGATTTAATTTAGAATCCTTGTTTACTAGCGAACATGTAGATACTGTTGAAGGAGATGGTGAAGTTAGTACTCTTGCCAAATCCTTGGGAATCAACTAATAAATCTTTTTTAAATTCAGAGCAACTAATATTTTTTAAACTGAGTTTAACAAGGGTCTTTGTTCTTTAGGCTCTAGCCTTTGGATAGCTTATTCCCTAATCAACTAGATATTGCAAGCCATGTACCAAAAACAAGCTGGTGACCTTCCAAATTAGAGAAAATACAGTCCAGTAAAGAATTACATCCTCCAATAAAAAAGTATTAATACAAGACCGAATTTTTTCTTTTACTTTTTTGTAATGGATTGTGATGAATGGAGACAAGAGCAAAGATGGGAGATGCAGGAAATAGTCCCAAGTACACTTGACTAACGCAGATGTATTCCTGGGCCCTTACAAATGCGCCAAAGATATCAATATTTTAAAGCAGAACGGAATCACTCATATTATTTGTTGTAAAGATCAGAACGAACCATTCCTAACCAATTTCATTGAGAATGGATTTATATATCATACCATGTACTCTATATTAATCTAGTACCATCAGCAACTCTCCCTTTGCAAATATAATGTCTCTCTTTTACGATTGCTCATTAAAGATTAATGAAATTGTCAACCAAGGAGGAAGAGTACTAGTGCATTGCTTGGGCGGTATATCCAGAGCACCCGCATTTGTAATTGCTTATTTGATGGATCTAAGAAACATTGATTACGAAGAGGCATTTGCGCTAGTACAGGACGTTAGGTAAAAAGCAACTAAAAAGATATTGTATAAATCCAATAGAAAATTTCAAAGTACAGTTGAGAGAGTACCAGTATGTTGTTAGGGCTAGGAGCCAGAACCAGATTGGAATACAGCGGGAAAAGAGGGCTTTGGATGAAGAAGAGCGGTTTCAGTCTAATGTACTTTATATTAATCTAGAATAATAATAGAAAAAGGGATGCGTAATAAAATACATGTACTGATTAAACTTTTGAATCTATGGATTTGTATACATAGGTTCCATTTGCTACAGAATAGTGTTTAAAGGACTTGTTTTTTCTAGTGAAAATTTAGACTAGAGATCATTGGATATGTGGTACCACTGAATCCATTAGATCTTTTGCACAAGATTGAAACATATTTGCAAGATATACCATGGTTTATTCAAATGACAGTCAATTTGACTTCAAGAGCCCCTCTGGTGGCAACAGAGTAAGGACAAATCATATGGGCTTGCTCAACTACTTTGGTAGCATCTTCTTTACTCAATCCAGGAATATGCACCTATATTAACTGAACGTACTCTTAATTCAGTCTTCAGCATGAATCCACCCTTTTCACCACTGCCAATATGAACAAGAGCGTTAACAGTGGATTTAGGATCAAGTTTGAGTTTCAACTGACCAGCTGGGTTAGTTTAAAGTACCTGCTACTCCCATAGCACCAATAAAGCAGGCAGAATATCCAGCAGCGAATAATTGTTCAGGGTTAGTCTTGTCTTCCTTTCCACCCAATGCTTTTGGTAAAGACAGTTCGATGTTCAAGAGACCATCGGATGAAACTGATTTTCCGCTTCTTCCGCCTGTTGAAGTTACATTGGCGGTGTATAGCGGTTTGAAAGTGAATGATCTTTTGAATACTCTTATGAAACGAGATTGCATTTTAATTTTCCGCGTTTTTCATGAATGGTATTTGGTAATTCAGTTTACTGAATCCCTGAATCCTGAATCCTGAATCCCTGAATCCTGAATCCTGAATCCCTGAATCTTTGGAGAGTATATTAAAAAGTAATTTAATTTTGGTTTTCTTTTCACACTTTGATGGATGCATTAGCTTCTCGAACGACACTACTCGTTTTCATAGAGCAGTGCCATATACCCTCACTTTAAGTATTAAAATATCTCTAGCACGAAATGGAAAGGGTGCGAGATCAAGACTTGATTTCCTGCTAATAAAGGCGTAATAAAAGCGTTTGACATTTATAAACGGACTCAAACAGTAAACAGATCTATCAGTTGAATACTCTCACTATCGCGCTAATCCAATCAAGACTGTTTTTTCCTATCGCTGTGTAACGCTAGGGCTGATCACTCTAACCCTCGTTTCTTTTTTTCAAAAACAAAACCAAACCACTTGTGGAGCAGCAGCAAAGCCATACATGCCAAAAGAACAAGTAACATTTCCTTAATTTAGAAAATTGATGATAAAGCAGACCAGCTGAATTACTACGGTAACATGCAACCATTTGATCAATCTCAAACAGAAGGAATGGATACATTTTCCGCTGCCATGGCTAGAGCTCATTTGGCAGTAGCTGCCAACTTTCCTCACTTGCAATATGGTCTTCCACTGTCTCAGTTACCTCAAGAGCTGACCCTGGATCGATTTGCGCAGCCAGAAGCTCCACCTGTCCAAGAGCAACAGCCTCAAGATGGAAAATACACTTGTACATTATGTGATAGATCATTTTCAAGGTATCCTAGTGCTAAAAAGACTATACAACCTCAAATCCCATATCAAGACTCATGAGAATCAACGGCCATTCGAATGCCCAGAATGCTCTCAAAGATTTGCAAGGTAGAAATATACTGATTAGAAATCATGATTTAAACAGACACATTCGTACTCATTCACAACAGCGTCCGCATATGTGCCAAGTGTGTGGTAGACAATTTGCAAGAAGGGATGCATTGAAGCGACATGAAAGAATGAACCCAGAGGGAAAAAAGATACAGTAATTTAAGCTAATGTAGTTGTATTCCAGATCCAGAGCGAGTGTTTAATGCTCAAAACCTGAACGAGATGCAGCAACAGCAAATCAATCATGCGCAACAGGCTGCAATTACTTTACAGCAGCATTTTGATGAATTGAGCAGGCTGCATCCAGGAGAAATTCCATCACATTTTGATGCTGCTAGCGTCATTAGTAGTTTAGCGATGAGAGATCAGAGCCAGGACTTGATGCTTACTCATGAACAAGCTATGCAGGCTGTTCAAGCGTTGGCTCAGCAGCAACAGCAACAAGATGATTGAATAATATATAGTTTTTATACTTTGTTTCTGTAAATATTATTTTCTGCATCGTTATTGGACTGCCGTGGTTGACTAGAGACGACACGGTAAAGACGGAATATTGGAAAACAATATAACTCACAGACTGATTCTCATTGATTGCAATTTGCGGTTTACATATGACAATTGGTGATCAACAAGGGAGATGAGATGATCTGACGCAAACAACAGCTATTTCAATCGGAAAGAGAGTAAATAAAATAGGCATTTCAAATAGTAAAATAATTACTTGTAATATATATATGTAGCGGTATATAACAAATTAAAGCGGTTTAAGGATGGCCGATTAAGTTGATTACGGTCCGGGCCCTCATGCGTAAAAGACTGGTAGCACAAGATTATTGATTGTTTATAGACATCAACTATATTATTGTCGTGTACGTGGATGAAACTTGTCTTGGCTTTTTGGACTAGCCCATGATTGGCTTCATGCTTCATACCAAAGGCGCATTTTGAAACATTCATTGGTAGAATCGAAAATGAATAAGAATGAGGAATCCTATCCATTGGCATATTAGGTTGATGATTCAGCATATAATATTTCCATTTTTCCATTGCCAAGTCTGGTTATGGAAATAATTTTAAATTGTTCTGGCCGGTTGGTATGAGTGATATACTTGATTATACTATTCCGGGAAATCCCTTTACATCCGGTTCATAGCTAGATATTTTAGCAAGAGTTTAATGTATAATAATTGTCAAATATATTTCGACAAGCCCGATACCCGAAGCCTCGAGAAACTTGGCTGTGCACTAATTTAATCTCCACTATAATTATTCTTGCACCTGTTAAAGATAGCAACACTAGATCACTTGCTACTACAACTTTTCCTTTATGAAAAGCGAGCACCGATTGAAAACTAGTGGGTGTGATTGATCATTCCAGTTTTCTCCCATTTTTCAAGTTTTGTAATTTGCCCAATTAGGAAAGCCTGTCAGGGAGGGGGGCCCTATCATATGTCTGTGAGGTAAATCTCCATTAAAAAAACTAGGATTATCTCAAGAGCAG